TACTACTCCTGCTGCTGCTACCACTACTATTTCTGCTACCACCACTACTACTACTACTACTACTACTACGACGACGACGAGTACTACTATTATTTCATTTTGCGAAATGCATGATGTCGTTTTAGGTAAAATCTCCTGGCATAGCCGGCTCAGTGTGCTACTTACCGTGCAGGAGCACCGACAGCGGCCCAAGCGAGACCGCAGAGTGACGATGCAGGCGTTTGTTGGGGGAATGGCGGTCTGAATCGAGGAATGCGATGTTTGTGCATAGTATAGCATTTGCGGATATCTACACGGCCCAGAAAGCATCCGAAGCATCTAAATCCTCGTCGCTGTCCAAGCCTTTACGTTTACCTGCAACATGCCCCGTCATTCATGCCATTGCAGCTTTGCTGCATACCATGCCCATGGCTGAACCGGTACGCCAAACCATGCTGCCACGACAAAGCCAAGCGATGCCAAGGGTCCACAGCTGACCACTTCCTGCCTGCAGGCTGGTCAAAGTGACACATCGCCAGGGCGTCAGTGGGGGAGGGTGAAGATGGCGTTGGGGCCGACCCAGTCGAGCCCGAAATCTCCCACTTTGCGCAAGGTCACGGCGACATTACACGACCGTCGTCGAAGTTGATCTCCTGCAGGAGGCCCACCAGCTGCCAGCCCAACGAGCTTTTTAGGGTCTCCCAACTCTACATCTGCAAGATTCTTGAAAGATCTCCTTTTTGGCAGTGGAGGACGGACCGCGCGTAGAGGAGAAGGATGTGGAGGACTCGGATGTGAGCTCGGCTGCGCAAGGAGCCAGGGTTTCCGATCCAGGGAAGCAGCACTACACAAGACTTAGGAATCTTTTCCGGGCTTTGGTGTGACCATGAGATCTTGCCACCAGGAGCTTGAGTACATCTGAGACGAGGCAACTTTGTGGCTCGGGGCTGTCATGGGATGACCTGCGCTAGGGAATAGGGTGAATAGGGCCCCTCACGGCGATTAGGGCTCAGGCTTAGTGGCTCGGTGTTCAGTGTCGGAGATCTCGGTTTCGCGAGATCGCGACTCAGGGACTGCAATGCCTGTGACTCATCTTGAAGCAGTCGAGTGGACATGTCATTATTGCATGGCAGGCCGCAGGATCAGAGCTCAGGAATCATTGGATGACAGTAGGATGAAGTTACTCTGCCTTTCATGCTTTGCCTCTGCGGCTTCACTATGGTACCTGTAGAAGCAGACAGAGGCCCTTGGCTAGAACCCCAGGGCCCCTGTACGCGGACTTCCTGCAGCATTCAGCCTTAGTCACACATCAGCTTCGAACACAATTTCGCGTGCTGGGTGGCCGTGGCACCGTGCGCAGCAGCGTCATGCTCCAACGGGCTCCTGGCTGAGACACCGGAGTCAGAGACAGTGTTTTTCATGTGGTAAGTGCAGTCCGTATTAGATGCGGATGAATGTAGTGAATGCGCACTGCGAAACTCGAGGTGGCATGGCATTCTGCCTTCTACTCCGACACCGAAGGGCGGCTTGCATGCAGTAGGCCCACCAGATGGCCGAAACACTTCAAGCCCGCCACAAAGACCCGGTAGCCAGCACTTTGCTGCTACTCAACTCTCTGACCAGCGACCATGTTGCCAAGGGCGCAGCTCAATGAAGCCATGCGTTTGCCAGGTGGGTGTTTTGTCGCTGTCGGTGGTGACATTCAAATACGAGTGCACTTGCAGGTGGCGACCCAGAGGATGGGATACCAGAAGGTCCGGATGCTGCTTGCTTGAAGCGAAGTTGACACCAACACGAACCGGGCGTGACCTTTGCAATTAGAGTGCAATTATCAAGCTTCTGGTTCTCTAAGGACATTGCAGATCCGCACGTGCCCCGCAAGCTCCTTGATGAGCACATTCTGCGAGAGAAGTCTGCCTGAGCCTCATTGACAAGACCACTCCCTTAATCTCGACACCGCTCACCCCTTCATCCTCTAGTAACTCTAGTATCCTAAGCACAGCATGAGCCCGTCATAGCCCGTCCAACAATCCTGACACCGCGACGGCCGTAGAATTTGCCGCGCCCAAATCCAGGTGCGGAGTTTCAGCCCATATGGGCTCCGGGTCCTGGGCCGAAGGCTCCCGAGACTTCAGGGCTCTGAGTGGCAGAGGAAGAGATCATTCCGGGTCTGCTTGGGGTCCGGGATCCAGATCAGAGATCTGATGAGGAGACCCAGGATGGGATGACTCCGGAGTAGTTCTTCTCGGAGTAGGCGGAATCTCGCACCTTCCCACGTGACTCTGGGAAGGCTCTTTGTCTGCAACTCCGATGATGACGATCAGCTTCAGGCCAACCACTTTCTCTCTGTGCTGCTGTCCTGTGGGCTTGTCCGGCTTGACATCTGATGCCAGGAAGAGGGTACAGAACTCAGCTTCCTGGGAATGTGTGCAGCACATGCTAAATTGCAGTGAGCAGTAATCTTTCGGACAGGCTTTCCGAGTTTGTCTGCTTCATCCTTGGAGACCAAAGGGTGCGTGACAGCAGTGCCTGGTCGAGGCAAGTGCGGCGTGGTCGGAACGCGCTTTCAGATCCCAGGGATCAGCCTGCGCCTGGAGCCGGGGAGCCTGGACCTGCCGTTGGGATGGGAGGAAGAGTGAAAACGCGGGGCTCATTCTTAAAACCGGAAGCCTGAGCCCTTAACTATTATCCTGCGGTAATCAATCCGGTCAAACCCAATGAAGACGACCCCACTTAGACCAAACTTGGAAGTCGGAAGTTCTGTGTCTTGTCCCTCTCACTAGTAGACCCTCCGTGCACAAGCGGGAAAAGGTCAAAGATCTTACGAAACAGGGTGCTTTACTTGCGTTCAAACGATCGCTGCTGCTTGCTCCTTTGCACTTGATTTTGTAGACTCCGACATTCCTGTGCACCTGCCCTTTCGGCTTAGCAAAGGAGCTCAACTAGTGCTTTGCAGTAATTACGCGCATGCACTTGAAATCGCAGGGTTTCGGAAGCCCGGCGATCCCCCAACAACTCCCAACCCCTTAAGATCTCCAGATCCCTGCAGCCGAGACCCCGAAATCTGTCCAGAACCCTGTCTAATCACAAGCTGTTGAGTCTTGGCCGAACCTAACGGGGACTTGGGACCGAATGGGCACAAGGAAATATTCGTGGGACGCTTCATGTGGGGAACTAGGCTGGAATTTTGGTTGGATGCTAGAGACACCGAAGCCCTGAAGCCCAAGCCCCGAAACCCAAGCCGATCCAGGTCTGACAAGACCATCCTCCCGGTCCATCGTGGGGATCCCGGTGTTGAATACCAAGTCTCAGATCCTTACTCCTCAGCTGCCACCCCGGATGCCTTCTACCTCGAGCCCTCCAGGAAAGCTTCTGAGTTGCCCGTCTTAGTGCAGAGGGGTACGTCGCACGGCTGAGGCTACGACGACGTGAAGATGGTCTGGACTGCGGAGCAGGTCTGGTGATCTGAGTACGGCAAGCTCGGCTTAGACAATGGCTGACGTTGCAACCAGTTCAATGACATGAGAACCAGGAGCCGGGTTCTTCAGTGCTAGGAGGTGTGCTTGGGGACGCTTTGGGACCGTACGAAGACCTCGTCAGCTCTTCAGGGGCTGAGCCGATCGTATGCCCTCATGCATTGTTTGGAGAACCTAGCGCCTAGCATCGCTAGCCCTTATTCGTTCTCACAGTTTGGGTGCCGAGGGCTTCCTAACGGGCAGTTGCTGCGATGCGGTCCACCGCGCGTGCCCTCGTCTTCTAGTGACCCTGCACTAGGCTCCGCATGTGATGGTCGAGAACTACAAACTGCCAAAGGTGCGGAGACTGGGGAAAGCAAGCTCAATCTTGTGTGCCGGTGGGAACCTATCAACCTATCAGGGCAAAGACGGAAAGCTGGACTTTGATGCCATGCACTCATTTGCAGTGTGATCTTTGGATCAGTGGTTGGGTCACGCAGACCTCAGCACTCAGCTCACAGATGCCGTGCTAAGATGCTTCCCGTGATGCCTTTCAAGATGACGCGCTTCAGCCCTGGAGAGGCAGGGTCCCGTGAAACTCCGCAGACGATCAACAGCGAAGCTTTGTTTACTAACCCTGGGAGCTATGCTTGTCCTGCAGCCGCGGTTTGTGCTGTAGGTGGTGCCCCTTTCTGGGATTTTGACCGCTCCGCATCGCTCGCTTCGCCATGGCTCTTCGCAGCGTGAGCTACGACGTTGATGCAGCATCCCGGATTGCCACAATCTCGCTGAATCGTCCGGAAAGGCTGAACGCGATAGACGATCACATGCCCAGAGAAATAGAAGCATGCGTGTCGCGCGCAAACGAAGATGATAGAGTACACGTGATCGTTTTACAGGGTTCAGGGCGGGCATTTTGCGCTGGCTATGACCTCAAACAATATTCAGAAGGCTCGCCGGTTGGTGCCGACGCTTCCCCTAATCAGGACATGCCCTGGGACCCCACTGTTGATTTCAAGTTCATGTGGGCAAATACCCGGAACTTCATGTCCTTGTGGACATCATTGAAACCAACGATATGTAAAGTTCACGGTTTTGCTGTCGCTGGCGGCAGCGACATTGCGCTGTGCTGCGACATTGTTTTGATGGCCGACGATGCACGGATCGGCTATCCTCCTGCCCGCGTGTGGGGCTGCCCAACAACCGCCATGTGGTCCTACAGGTTAGGTCCTGAAAAAGCCAAGCGGATGCTGCTAACTGGCGACTTGATCACGGGTGTCGAAGCAGCCCGAATGGGACTGGTCTTGGAGTCCGTCCCGTCAGACAAGCTGGATGAACGCACTTTAGAGCTTGCACGCCGTGCGTCGAGTGTTCCAAAGAATCAACTGATCATGCAGAAGATGGTGGTAAATCAAAGCATTGAAGCCAGCATGATGTCGACTCAGCGACTCGCTACACTCTTTGATGGTGTTACGCGGCACTCCCCGGAGGGCATGTGGTTCAAGGAGCGTGCCGCAACCGCAGGATTTGCGGCGGCCGTTGCAGAACGTGACAGCGGCAATCCCATTGCCCCGCATGTGTCCAAGAAAAGCATTCCATCGAAGCTTTAGTGGCCACAAGAGCAGAAACGACGCTTGAGGGCATCTGCGAGTCGGAAAAGCGAAGTTTCCATCATGCGCCCCGAAGCCTTGAAATTGCGATGCCGTGCTGTCGCGGCTGGTAGGCTCCGGATCCCATCGAGAGCTCGGCCGGGGCATTGGCAGGCACAGTCTCTGGTGAAGTGCAGCTCTGGCAGTCCTGACCCGCTGCATGTGCACCTGCCCGAGTTCCCTCAACACTTGTGTGGATCAGAGGCCCCCGGGAAGGTGTCTGATGACGTTGCCTACCTGAACCCGATCGAAGAAGCAAGCTCCGTGAACCTCCGATATGTATGTAACGTATCTACACATGTGTATGCTGTATACTGGATACCATTTTACATTTTTGTTATAGTAAAGCACAATAAGGGTTAAACGTGCTCATTCTAAATTTTGAATGTAGCCCCAACAGGGAACCAGTGTATCTGTGTGTGCAGCAGTCGTAAGTAGCAGTTGTAGTGGTGGTAGTACTGTAGTAGTAGTA